ATCTGTTATATGCTCAATATTTATATTTTCAGATGCATTTTACGACATGAGGGCGCATGAAAGTTACAAATATCAACGTTCCTCGGGTCCTTAAAAAGTGTTAAAAATGTGTTGAAATTCATTTTGATCAAATTTAAGCCCACAAATATCTTAAAAGTTTTTAAGGGGCCAAAAAAAACCCAACAGGAATAGCATTTCAAAATAAGAGTCCCAGTGGGCCAGATGAGCATTCATCAGTCTCAGCTCTAGTTTTGGCTCTCGTCTTTCGCATCATTCTAACAGCCTGCCCTTTCTCTCAGGTCAAGAACATCTTTTACCACTGCGTGAAGAATGCCGTGGGGACATTAAAGAGCTGCTGCGCAGAGGAGGAGGAGGAAGAGGAGACCAACTCATGACACCCGTCGACACGTTCCCCCAAATATGCACACTAACGCTCACACCGCAAACCTCCAGTGCCAAGCAGAGAAAAAACACACACCAGGAAACTGTATTTATTTGTTACCGACACCATAGCAGTATAGCCCATCAGGATGACAGTGATTGACACGCCACACATCTGAAGATAATCCGACAGCGCCGCTGTCACAACTAGTGTTTGTTCGTCTGTTTGCTTTCGTTCCCCTTTCGTTCTTTCCTACTGTATAGTTTCAGTGGAGAATCGTATTTATTTTCAGGAGTTCTGCTCTGTTCTCGATCAAATGTAAATGTGACCTGTACAGTTTGCTAATGGATTTCTGATGCCGCTCACTACTTTGGAGACTTGGAGTTACTGTGAGAGAGATCCGCTGTATCATGTCCTCATGCCATATCTTTTGAGAAAAAGAACTGCCAAACAATTGTAAACATTGTAAAGTTCTATTATGTAAAGAAAGACTTAATAAATAACACTTCAGCATTTTATTAAGAAGTATTCACTGTAAAATGGAGACATTTACAAAAAAAAAAAAGTTGTAATTTATTTAAGAAAACTCTCATTTCTCCTTTTTATGTTCAGATTTACTATGGTGAACTTTTGAAGTTCGATGGAAAAAGGAAATCGTACTATGCTGTGTAAATATATACATATATACATTCACTGATGTATTTTTTTAAACATGGCTTGCTTCAATTTCAAATTTTAAAGTGCAAGTGTTACATGCTTTGTACATTGAAGTTCAAAGGGGTTTTACATTTTCCATTAAAATGGATTTATCAAATATATGCCTGCCTTTTGCCTTATTGACAAGCTGAAAGAGAAACACACACACACACACACACACAGAGAGAGAGAGAGAGAGGAGTAGTGTCCGACAGTAATGTCCAGAGGGGATGTTGGTTTTTAATGACCCTACAAGTTCCATTAATCCATCAAAATGAGGAAAATATATATATAAAATATAAGGGAAGAACAAAACAATAAACTTGGTTATGGTATTTATCTAACAAAAGTATATGGCAAAAAAGGCAAAATACAGCTACAGGTTTTATTTCACTGCAAAAAAAAAGAAAAAAAATGCATAGAAAAACAAAAGCATACATTGACCACAACATATGTTATACAAATTGTATTGATTCTCTCTTGTTTTGCATGTATTCATATTTTCTTTGTATGACAGCTTGACCAAAAATTGTCTGCACTATTTGACATGTTTCATTGCGTCATGACAAATAAAAGAATTGACTCCAAGTATATGATTAAAAAATAACAAGTTTTTAATTATACTTAAATAAAGGGGTGAAGTCACTTTTGGCCACTACTGTATATGTGTGTATACATCAGTAGCGGAGTGGCAATCGGGAGAGTCGGGAGTTTTCCCGGTGGGCCGGTATTGTTTCGAGGCCGCGAGGGCCGGTCTGATAAAATATATTCATTGCAAATTCGCCATGCGCACTTGGGGCCCAAGCGAGGGGAAGAAAACATTTTTTTTTAACATTTTCTATAACAGAGCGTATATTTGCACTAAGTGCCTGTCTTTAAAGCAAAAAGACACTCGTTGCGATACAGCTATAGTGGCGTAGGTCGTTGGGCGTGAAGTGCTTGAAAGCAGCTTTTGATGCGCTCGACCCGAGTTCGAATCCGCCTTTTGCCGAACTCTCTCTTCTCCCTTTTCCCAACACATATGTAAAGATGTAAAATGTATAACCTAACATTAAGGTCTCTAGCGTTATATTTTGCCAACGAACTAAAATTGAAACCATGATATGGCTTTGTGTCTTTATAAAACAGCACAAGACTTTAAGAATAGGCATCCTGTCTGTGCTGCGTGATTACTTTGCTCACGCGATCAGCATGGTTATCTGGTGGTTTCTCCTAAATAAAAGCTCAAGGGTTTATTTCTTGCAAATGAAGAAATTAGGACAAAAATATTGTAATTGTCCTATATTATAGTGTAATGTAGGCTAAAATATACTTTTGAAATATTCATTTTCATTTATATAGTACATTTATAGGCTAAATGGATTTTACGTCATAGGAATAATTATATAAATCATTATTACATTATAATAATAATTGTTTGGCATCCTAAAACATCATTGATAATGTAATGCAGACTGAGACTCTCATAACTAAAAAGATGCCCTCTTTATTGTCCTGGTACAAATCAATGCTTTTTCTTTGTTCAACGAGCAGTTCATGGGTTGAAGCTCTTAATTTTGATCTCTCAAAGAGCACCAGATTGATGCATTTAACCTTAAAATGTAAAAAAAATTCTTGCGGGGGAGCATGCCCCCGAACCCCCCTAGAGGCACAGAGGTCCACCCAACATAGTTTTAAAAATTCCTATGGGAAAGAACGACCATTTATGAACTTTACTCCAGCATAGTACAACAAAGTTACTTTTAAATCAGTAAAACTGTAAATGCCGTATTAAAATGTCCCTGGACAAAATATACATTTGGCCTGCCTAAGAGGGGACCTACAAGACATTGTGCCCAGGGGGCTCTTAATCCGGCCCTGCCGGCGACGAGGGCCGGTGGTCTACGAAATTTCCCGGTAGATTTTTTGGTCCCACTCCGCCCCTGGTATACATATATATGGTTTAACACTGATACAAACGGTTAAAACAGATTAAGAAAACAAACAAGCAGGGTACAAAACACAATTAATTGTCTTGCTCTTTGTTAATAGAATTTTAATAGAATTTCACTGCGCCTGTTGCTGTCTGGGTTCTTTTGGAATTTTTTTTTTTTTTTTTTTTTGACGGAGCAGAAACGAAAACAAAACAAAACAATGCAATACACTCAGCTGCATACATACTGTAGCTTATTTCATCTAAAATGAGCCTCGCTGCGCAGTTTACACGAGTTTGTTCCCACGTTGTTTCTTCAGATTCACATAATCTTTCATCGGAATGTAACAAATTGCTCCATAAATTGCTGATGTCTCCAAAAGCGAGGGAAAATAATGTTGACTACTAGCCAAATTGTGTCCGCTTTTAAACACATGCTGTCGTTCACAGATTGGGCACAAGGGGACGCTATTGAGCTATGGACGAAATTTAGAAATGACCACCTCATATTTAAGAGAGACAGCCTGGAATATTTGAACAATTAATTGAAAATGAAGAATTTATTTTAAAGTTATACAATTCAATAGCCTCCAACTGTGTACGGTTGCCAGGCAGCATAGAAATGAGTGCATTAACACTGAAGTCATCAGATGTGCAGTCTCAAATGTGTACCACTGAATGTTGCTCATCTAATGAACCTTTGTTACTTGACTGTATTAAATATAAGAGTATAACAGCAAAACTAGCAGGTGGACAAACAACTCAGATTAACGCTTCCACTTGTTAAAATCTTTAATGCTTGTCAGAACAAGTAAACTCACAAAAGAATTATACATACAATTCTTGTTTTCAATATCTTAATCATGTACGTACAGCTACTGTAAAACAGCCATTCATGCATCAAAACACTTTCGTCGTATGATTTTCATTGATTTTTACATCGTAAAATAACAAAACAATCTGATGCACCCTGATTACTGTGGTAAACCAGTAATTAAACATTGAATTTAAAATAATAATAATAATAATAAAAAGAGCAAAATCTGGATTTGGTTCCCTCTTCATGACACAAATATGAGCCATAAATTCATCTCTTCCCAGGCGCGTCTGGCACATGTTGGTATGCTTTTGATTAGTGTGAGGAGTGAACCTGGTTTATTGTTAGACAATGTATGATTGTGCAATCAGTAACCTGAAAATATTAGCATCGTGATCCAGACGATCCTTGATTGATGAGTACAATACAAAATGAAGCTTCAAAAAGAACTAATAACAACGTCAGTTCATCCAGAGTTCCTGATGTGGACAAAGAGTGAAAGTCCATTCCTATGCTGAATGATGACACAGCTGAGCAGGAAACAGTAGAGATGACAAACGAAGCACATGACATGATTATTGCTTATAGTTCTGAATGCAATAGTCTCACACACATGTTCAGTCCCAAAGTCCCTTCTATAGAAATAATCCACGGCAGAGATGACATCATGACTGGGCTTGGTTCTAGTCTACGGGACTTCTGCAATAAGGCGAAACGAGAGCTGCTGCTGCAAAGCTGGTTATCTGTGTGTGGAAACAGAATGCAGAACTAATTGCATTGATGCCTCTTGGCTTCCTCTATGCCCTAAATCTGCGCTGTTGATAGACGACTGAAACCGCATGAACACCAACGTCGCTGCAACGTCAACGGTACTGCACGAAACCCTCACACACACACGCGCACTCACACACACACACACATTATGGATGTAATTCACAGTGTCTGTGTAGGAAAAAGTTTTCAATTCCAAGTGGGATTTTGCTGATAAAAAGTCTGATAGCATAGTGTCCGACAGAATCTGTTCGTCTCCAATGTCCCTTTTCACTTGTACTTCATAACAAAAAAAAAAAAAAAAACGCGTTAGAAATGTTCAAAAAGGCACACGTACTTCAAATAGAGTTGTTTTCTTTCTTCGTATATATATCCAATCGCTACGGGCGCCGCTGAGAAAAGTCGTGAACCGAACCTGCTGACGCCACCAAGCGCCTTTTCAGATCTTTCTGATGCGCTTCCTCTGGCACTCGATGGCGATGGAAGTCTCCCTTTGGTGCGTGAGTGTTCACAGCTTCTCTCCGTCCAGCAGCTCCTGCAGCTCCTGCTGGATGTCCTCAGGAAGCTCCAGCCCGGGCAGGTCTTCCAGAGGGATCTCCTGAGTGGGCATCTCCAGTGGAGGGAGCTGTGGGATGGGAATGTCCTTGGCCTTGCGCTCCTCGGCCGTCTGCGGAAGCACCCACAGCTCAGACTTCTCCACGAAGTCTGCATCAGCGTAGTGTTCCTTCTTCAGCCGCACGTTCTCCGCCCGCATCCGCTCGTTCTCCTGTTTCAGCCGCTCGTTGTCAGACACCAGGCGGTCCACCAGCTTGCGTAGGTCATTGATGGTGGTCTGCTGCTCTTCCAGACGGGTTTTGTCGTCTTTCTGGGCTTTGCTGCCGGTGCAGGGCTCTGGGACGGTGCCTTTGTTCTTCAGGAGGTACAGCCAGGTGTCGTACTCGCGCTCGGAGGGTTGGGCCGTTCCTCCCGGCTGTAGGTGACGGCGTGGCGTCTGGTCTGAGGAGGAGACATGCTGGAGCGTTCTGGGCTTGTCCTCTCGCTTAGCTCGCTTCCATCGCTCCTCGATCAGTCTCTGCTGTTTGATGTGACTGTCCCTCTGAAGCTCCAGAGACAAGCGTGCCTGCGGAGGGAAAAACATCTCAAGAACTGATCCACTATCCACACAGCAAAATAATAATCATGATGAGCATCTAGGCGTACCTGTTCACACTCCGTGAGCTTCATGGCCTCCTTCAGAAGTTCTGTGGAGAAATGACATGGTTATTTAAGCACACGCTTCCAGGGCTGGTTTCGAGCCCAGTGCTAGTCACAGATTATACAAGAATTTAAGCATTTGTGAGACAAACCTCTGAAGCACTATTCGTTTTTTGGACGGTAATCGTTTCTCATGGGGATGTAAGGTCATTTCAACATTTACATGGGCTAGTCTCAGGGCTTGACATTGGCTTTTTTCCTCACCAGCCACTAGAGTTGTCAAAAGTAGCGACTTCGGTACCAAGTCAGTAATGAAATTAAAAAAATGTGACGATACCAGCATTTCCCTCTAGCATTTTGAGCGCTGATTCTTAAACACCTCTGATTGGCCATTTTGTTGACGTGCTCAACATATATATGTCTGTGATTGGCTACAATGATCAACGCTTCTAAAACATGTTGTCTTTGACGCTCTTCATCGAACGCTTACACAGATACAAACGGGAGTATTTGAAAGCGTTGTCTATCAGCGGATGTATCAGGGATCCGCTGATAGACGCCTGCTTTTAAATGCTCACGTGTGTATCTGCGTAAGCGCTTGGTGAAGAGCGTCAAAGATATCATTGTTGATCATTGTAGCCAATCAGAGACATATATGTTGAGCGCATCAACACAATGGCCAGTCAGAGGTGTTTAAGAATCCGTTCAACAGCGCTCAAAATGCTAGAGGGAAATGCTGGTATCGTCACATTTCCGTGGCTAGTGGTTTTCCAAAGTTTCCAAATTTTGACGTCGATACCATGGGGAAAAACTGCCATATAGATATTTTTAATATTATCTCATCATTTGGCAGCAGGTATATTAGGCTGCTGTCACTTTAAGACCTGACACACAGATCCATTATACTTTTACATATTCATTTTCTTTCTCAACTGAATTTTATGTTACGTTCACTTAAAACATAACTGACTGTTTACGTGAATACTCGCCAAGACCAGCATTTTGACATTATTTTGTGTGTATTTGACTGTTTGTCAAATAAGGAAACATGGTGCAATAAGAAGCGAAAAAGAACAAATTTAGCACTGAATGAGTAAAAATATGCACAATCCCACACCTAAATTCAAGCCCTGTAACAACAACACTATTGATCCGGAGCAAATGAAACGAGTGAGTGAGGGGAGACGGTTTGTGTGTAACTCGCTGTCGGAGAGATGAGTATTGTGTACTATCTGTTCTGTGGAAAATGAGCATTGAAAGTATTTCAGATATTTCAGTATCGATATGCATCAAAAATTCTATATTTTCCACAACACTGCATTGGATGTGGTGACTTTTTAAAAGTATACAATTTAAAAATGTGTATTATATATATAATGAAACCCGCCAAAGTGGCTAGTAGGAGTGACTGCGTTACACACCACTGCTGAAATTATTATTTTTAATGTCAAGCCCTGGCTAGTCTGGGATTTTATTTCCATCCAAATCCAGAAAGTCTGTGTTTTTCTGCCACCACACGAAAAATGACTAACTGCTTTTTGACAAACACCGAGGTTGTATGGTACTTTAATTACCGTTCGCATTTACATCTGTACATTTACAAGAAGGGATCAATCCAAAAATCCTTTTTCACCACTAGTATGGATATAAATCACAAATATGGGGACTTTTATTACTGAAATGCTGGAAACTGTTTACAAGAATAATATTCCACTCCACTATAGCGAATGGGAGCTGTCAAGAAGGAAAAGAAAATCTAAATCATGTAAACTTTTTAAACAGGCCATTATTATAGTACGCAATCATTTAAATTCCTTGTAAAAAAAATGACTTATTACTGCTAATTTCCTTTTTATATATATATATATATATATATATATATATATATATATATATATATATATATATATATATATTATACCACTGTTTCACTAAGGTGCCACGCAGATGTCTTTTTATAGACGTCCCCATGAGAATCACTTAAAACAGAAACCCACCTGCAGCTTTTCTGTGGCAGGAGATGGCATCTTCAAATTTCCCAGCAGCCACCAAGCGGTCTGCTTTCCTGCACTGTTGATGGGCCTGAAAGAGATGATGTAACATATTACATTATTTCATCATGTGTTTGTTAACAGTACAGATCATCAATGACAGCTCATTTCCTGCTTCTAAACTCGGTCCTGGAGGGCCACTGTCTGGAACACACATGTGTGGAAGTTTCTAGTGTGCCTAGTAAGACCTTGATTAGCTGGTTCAGGTGTTGAATCGGGGTTGGAGCTGAACTTTGCAGGGACAGTTCCCTCCAGCAGCAGGATCGGACACCCCTGTTCTAGAGGATTTCCCCTGAAAAACTCTCAACCTACATGAAGTTCTAATGAAAGTTCATCTAAACCTTTCAATCACAGGAGAAGGGTATCTAAACTGATGTGACTGCTTCTGTCATCCCTCCATCACTCCAGGTCCAGCTTTATTTTGATTTGATTCTATTTTTCTGTAGTTCTCTCCAAGCAGTCCAGAGGAATTACTGGGAACTAGTCTTTTGCTCAAACTCTCCATCGTCAACCTCATTACACAAGGACTATATGAAATATGAACTCACATTTCTTATGTAGCTTTAGGGTGTGTTCACGCTTCTAGTTCGGTTTGCTTGGTTCGGACAACAAAAAACAAAGCTTAGTCCTGGTAATAAAATCATGCTGGAGACTGTGATTATCAGGTTTTCTCCATGGTCATGTCATTGAAGCAGAAGGAGAGAATGCCAAAGGCTTGGCTTGCTGTCTATGATGGAGGGTTCTTCCTCTACTACATACCCCCTGGACTTCTTCAACGAAATTAGTAATAAAATAAAGGTGAAGATGGGGCTGATGGAGGGATGCTGGAAAAATGGTCACTGGAGCCATGTAATATATGTCTAGACCGACTTTTACATCATATATATGTATATTGTATTTATTTCATATTTGTAAAGTTACATTTATTAAGTTATTTAAATATCACAATATAGCTAGCAGAGGGAGAAAGATGTCAACAACAAAAAAAACACACACAGATCCAATGATTTGCTTTTATCTTTGTTATGCTGACAATATAATTTACAATGAAAAACTTAAGCAAAATAGAAGCATTTCCACAAGTGATCTCAGGATCTTCATCTCAATAACGTACTGGCATAAACGTCATAAGACTCTAGGAAATAATAAACCACACATTTAGAGTCAAATGTTAATAAAGTAGGCTACTTGTGTGTTTGTTTGTTTAAAGGTGATCAGCTGTCAGCAGTAAACAAACACACACTTAGAGGCTAACTTGCATAAAACCTGAACACGGTTTACGAAGCCTTCACATCACGGTTAACGGAATTAAAAACCCGAGTAAAGGGCTGCACGTGTTTCCGGACAGGTAAACCTCTTCGCAGCTGTATTTTAATTTGTTCAGTGATTAAATGCGGCTAAGCTAACCGCAGCTAGCATGCTAATGTGGCTTGTAAACAAACACTTACGAGATTGAGAGGACTGTCCAGCACCTCCATTCCTTCATCGACTACAGCCTTAACTACACGAGGGACTCATTGGCACATTAATGAGATTATACCGGGACCAGAGACTCTGGTTTTACCGGTTTCTGGTCCAATGCTACAATAGACGAGCAAAAACAACTAAAACTTCCCCCTCCGCGACGTCACCGCCGCGTCACATTACGACCTGCGTGTCGTGAGAAGAAGAACGCTGTTCCTTTCGTCATTTCTACTTCCAAAAAATTGCTAAAAACACATTTCTAGAAACCTTTACCCATTTTCTCACAACATTAACACAAAACCAAATCTTCAAACTACATTCACAAAACCACCGACTCTTCAGGCAAAATCAAACGATCGCCTCAAACCTATTTCACCTGTTCTCAAAATCAATGCTTTCAGGTCACATCAGGGTATATACAGAGCATTCATTAGACACTACATCAAAAAATGGAGAACACAGCATCCAGAGCATGAGTTTGGCCTACAGTTTACAGTAAAAGTAGGCCTATATTATACAGCAAACTAAATACGTAAAAAAAAATATAGTAACCACAACTTAGTAAGGTTGTGCTGTAGCCCTGTACTGAAGCTATAGTTGAATATTGTAGAATATAACTGTAAAATCGAAAAGAAAACTGTATGTTCATGTGAATAAAAGTCTAAATAATTTTTTTTCATCGTAAAGCGATATCGAGTCTCTTCAGAACATTTGGCCTAAACCGATTAGTTTTACGATCTCTTTACTTTTTGAAGCGTCAAAGTGTCAGTTGTGAAGCTGTCAATGGAGGCACAGAAAGTCAGATTTAATTAAAAAGATCTTCATTTGTGTTCCGAAGATGAACGATAGTCGGGTTTGGAACGACATGAGGGTGAGTGGCCTAAATGCTGAACTAGCCTTTTAACTTTTGCTGTTGTGTAGCCTACCTTCTAGCAACACAAGTGCATCACAGTGCAAAATGTGTTTAAGTGAGTAAGAATGTTTTTTAAGTTTTGCAAAAAGTGTGCATGAGATTTGCAAATGGTGTCTAACTGCCTAAACTTGTATAAGGTTTTGCAGAAAGATTGATTTATTCGACAAATGGATATAGGCCTGTGGAGAATTTGGTACAGTTTAGCGTCTTAGCAATTGTGAAAAGCTGTTAAAAAAGCGAAAATATCACAATAATATTAAATGACATGTTTTAGCCTCAAAACGCGTCCCTTTATATGATGTTCATACTCTGTTCTGGAGTTCTGTGATGTTATTTCACCACTAGAGGACGCTTCTGTCCTACAAATTGTTTTTTTTCCCCTTCTTTTTTTTTTGTTTTCTTTTTTTTTGTTTTCTTTTTTGACCTGTACAAGCACTCTGAAATCCCTAAATATATATGAAACGCAAAATATTGCTTTCTAATTTTTGTAGCCTTCACGATGGGTACTTTAAATCAACAAAATAACAACAAAGCAACATAAAAATATTTTGGTATAAATATGAATATAATTGAACAAATATTCATAAATAAACATAAAATATAGGCCTAATACAAATTCACTATAAATATATATAATATATAAAATGGTATATTTAGTAAATAATGCAGCACAATACATTACATGGCTCCAGTCACAATTATTTATTTATTTATTATTAATTACTTCCCTCATCAGCCCATCTTCACCTTTATGTCTATTTTATTAGTAATTCATCTAAGTGCAGGGGTTATTCAAAGGTCGAGCCCTCCATCATAGACAGCAAGCAAAGTATGTTACATTTATCCAAATACAGTAGTGGCCAAAAGTGATGTCTGGAGGGGATGTTTGTTTTTAATGGGCCTATAAATTTAATTAAACCATCAAAATATAAGGAAAATATTTTATATATTTTAAATATGAGGGAAGAACAAAACACAACTTGTTTAATGTATTTCTCTGACAAAATTATTTGGCAATAAAGTGCAAACTACAGCTACAGGTTTTATTTCACTATGCAAAAAAAAAAAAGAAAGAAGCATATTAAAACAAAACCCACAGGAAAACGCATACATACAACATAATCAGTTATTCATATTTAATTGATTGTCTCTTGTTTTTTCTTGTTCATAATTTATTTGTATGACAGCCTGGACAAAAATGATGTCCGCACATTAGTCCGCACTTTCATTGCGTTATCACAAATAAAAGAATTGACTCCAAACACAACTATGCAATATGCTTACAAAATCTTTAACGCGTTTTTAATAGGTTATCGTTTGAATAAATGGCGAAGATGTTGGTTTTCCTAGGCCGAACATCACTTTTGGCCACCACTGAATGTTTTCTTTTTTCACTAAATAATCAGATTAATGTAGTAAATGTAAATGCAATATACGGTTCCGCTTTATATTATGTGTCTTTAACTACTACAGGAAAATATTGTTAGGTAAAATGTAGTTAATGTGTTCATGTTGTATTGCAAAATACATTTGCTTCTATTGAGGTGGGATATGGGTAATCTTAGGGACAGGTGTCTGTTGTCTCTGGATATGTGTTGTGTGTCACTCAGACACTTTGGCCAATGTAACAATGTAGAAGCACTGAATCTACACTCACCGGCCACTTTATTAGGTACACCTGTCCAACTGCTCGTTAACACTTAATTTCTAAGCAGCCAATCACATGGCGGCAACTCAGTGCATTTAGGCATGTAGACATGGTCAAGACAATCTCCTGCAGTTCAAACCAAGCATCAGTATGGGGAAGAAAGTTGATTTGAGTGACTTTGAACGTGGCATGATTGTTGGTGCCAGAAGGGCTGGTCTGAGTATTTCAGAAACTGCTAATCTACTGGGATTTTCACGCACAACCATCTCTAGGGTTTACAGAGAATGGTCCGAAAAAGAAAAAACATCCAGTGAGCGGCAGTTCTGTGGGCGGAAATGCCTTGTTGATGCCAGAGGTCAGAGGAGAATGGCCAGACTGGTTCGAGCTGATAGAAGGGCAACAGTGACTGAAATAACCACTCGTTACAACCGAGGTATGCAGCAAAGCATTTGTGAAGCCACAACACGCACAACCTTGAGGCGGATGGGCTACAACAGCAGAAGACTCCACCGGGTACCACTCATCTCCACTACAAATAGGAAAAAGAGGCTACAATTTGCAAGAGCTCACCAAAATTGAACAGTTGAAGACTGGAAAAATGTTGCCTGGTCTGATGAGTCTCGATTTCTGTTGAGACATTCAGATGTTAGAGTCAGAATTTGGCGTAAACAGAATGAGAACATGGATCCATCATGCCTTGTTACCACTGTGCAGGCTGGTGGTGGTGGTGTAATGGTGTGGGGGATGTTTTCCTGGCACACTTTAGGCCCCTTAGTGCCAATTGGGCATCGTTTAAATGCCACGGCCTACCTGAGCATTGTTTCTGACCATGTCCATCCCTTTATGGCCACCATGTACCCATCCTCTGATGGCTACTTCCACCATGTCACAAAGCTCTAATCATTTCAAATTGGTTTCTTGAACATGACAATGAGTTCACTGTACTAAAATGGCCTCCACAGTCACCAGATCTCAACCCAATAGAGCATCTTTGGGATGTGGTGGAACGGGAGATTCGCATCATGGATGTGCAGCCGACAAATCTGCAGCAACTGTGTGATGCCATCATGTCAATATGGACCAAACTCCCTGAGGAATGCTTCCAGCACCTTGTTGAATCTATGCCACGAAGAATTGAGGCAGTTCTGAAGGCAAAAGGGGGTCCAACCCGTTACTAGCATGGGGTACCTAATAAAGTGGCCGGTGAGTGTATATGATATATGTACATCAAAGACACAGGCAGCATCACATGCTCTGTTTTCTCGGTCCAGCGGTTGGAGATTCCTTGCACAGCATATTTTGCTCATTCAAAGAGTGCACTTATTGGTCAGTGACATCATCAGCTCAAGTACTTTGTTTTTGTTGTCAAGTGCCACTTGCTTTATCCAAATGCTCTTCAATTACTACTAATAGAGAGCAGAACAGGAACTGATACCGCCTTGTGAATCACAGCCTAAACACAGATACCAGGGCCAATGCACACTTCATATAACAACCTTTGATCAGCCCTTTGCTGCATTTGTTTGATTGAGTTCATACTGTTTTTACATTCAAATGATATTACAATACCGGTACATTTCTTTTCAAATATATTGCTCAGAACTTAAGGGACTCTTTCATGAGACCAAACAGTTGACGGTATTTTATTCCTACTATGGATGTCAATGGCTAGCGTCAACTGTTTGGTTCCTCTTCTGTATTTAGCAGAAGAATGAAATTCATACAGGTTTGGAACAACTAAATATAAAGAGTAAAGATGGCAGAAGTTTCATTTGTGGGTGAAATATCCCTTTAATAGACTTCTTACAGTAGTTATGTTTAATTAAAGTATCAGCTTAGTCAAGTCATGTCACAGTTATTTATAGAGCGCTTTATACAATACAGAGTGTTTCAAGGCAGCTTCACAGTGATAAACAGAAAAATATTAGTTAATGTTGCAAAATATGAAACAACTTCTATTTTAACTGTAAAGCAGCTCTACTGAAGACACTAGTACCACTATTGAGCTCAATTTAATTCAATGTCTCACCTGGTTCTCCAAAAAAATAAAATAAATCGAAATACAAAAAAGACACAAATGAGTCGATTAATGCTGATAGCACAGCTTAGACCATGTGGTCTGGCATGGAAAATGTTTGTTCATTTTGAAAACTTGTTGCCGAAGTGGCCAAAAGTGATGTCCGGCCTATCGGGAAAGTGACCTTTTCAACCTTTATTCAAATGATATCTAAAATTTGTTAAAGATTTTGTCAGCATGTTGTGTTTAGGGTCAATCATTTTATTTGTGATAACGCAATAAACCATGCCAAATTTTTGGCAGGCTGTCATACGAATTCATTATGAAAACATGCATGCAAAAACAAGAGAGAACCAATGAAATATCGTTTATATTTATTTATAAATAAATATTTTCCTCATATTTGATTTGCAGGGTCATTAAAAACAAATATCCCCTCCGGACATCAATTTTGGCCACTATACTGTATATATTTTTAATACAATATTTGTGATTCATAACTCAGTCATGTTGCTTATAAGTATAAACAACCCATATTTAGCAGGGACACTGCACAGCTCTCTCTGTGTGTTTTGTGTACTGTATCAGAAGGCCG